GTGACTCTTAATGTACAGCTACTCTTCAGCCAAATTTCAAAAGTACAAATTGTGCTGCTAAACTAAGGAGAACACTACAGAATACTGTACCTACTTAAATAACATAATGTGGAATGCTGCCAAGAAACTGCCGCTTGTAAAGTGCTTTCAGATCACAAAAGAGTCAAACACATCTCGACTATTGCTGGCTAAAAATATTCTTGTTGCCATGTGTGAGTCAAAGATAAAAGTGCACAAAAGCAGTAAAATCAGGAGGATAGTACAATTCTGAATCTGTTTGAAATAAGTTCCCTGAATTAAGATCTAAAGAAGGTTCATCGAATACCTCAGGAAAGTGGCTGGGATCATCAGGTGATAGTCATTCCTTAAAAGCAAAAACAGGATCACAATAATTTTAGTTGCTGCTTATTATTTTCTTTAAGCTTTTATGTGTATTTTAGTAATTGTGAAAATTGCCAGGCAGAAGAGAGAGGTCATCATTTTCATTCCCAGAATAGATACATATTGGGAATGATGGCACAGGCTTCCTACAATGTCCCACCCATGTGCCTCAGACATGATGTGAAGGGCCTAACTAGAAGTGGAAGGGTACCTCAGTTTTAACAGAGAATCCTTAGCCCTGCTGTGGACGCTGCCAACAAGAATCTGGCACTGGCAACTGTCACAGACAGGTTACCAGAGTAGTTAGACCACTGGTCCTATGTGTTCTGTGCACATGATTCCAGTTGTGCTGGTCATTTTTGTCATAGCTATCTCTAATCAGAATTCAATTTCCTTTAAATGCCTGAGTTGAAGTGCACTTATTAAGTCAGATCCTTAGCTGTTGTAAATTGACATAGTGCTGTTGACATCAGTGGAAATACACCATTTGGATTTACACCAGCTGGGACTCTGGCCCATTTTGTTAAAACATGAAGTGCATGTGTTTATATGGTAAATAAATCCCAGAATGATAAGCGTTAGTTTAAATTGTCAAATACATCTGTACATTAATTTCTTTTTTTTTTTTACCTAGTGTATACTGAGAATAGTTGCCAAGCATTATCTGGCATACATACTCAGCAGGTGTTGCGATCCATCAGAACACAGATGCAGTTTGTTTAGGTTGTTTAAGGAATCAACCACATAAAGTTTTCCTTCTTCATTGGTATCAAGTAAGTCAATTTCCAGAGAAGAACTCTCCATTGTACCTAAAAGAAAACATGAATATTGGAAATAATGACTACTATTAAGGGGCCTGATCCTGTGAGGTGCTGAGCTCCCTTAACTCTCACTGAAGTCAGTGGGAGTTGAGGATGATTAGCTCTTTGTAGGAGATATTCAGAACCTTTCAGGATAGGACCAATATGAGCTGTGAGTAACTCACTAGTTAACATTTCTAGTTTATTGTTCGAGATCTCCAAGTGTTAAAGTTCATTGCCACATCAGAATTTTGTAGTATACTGTTCCACCTTTCTAGCTCCTGCATTTATTTAGGTGTAAACTAATACTTATTTGTATAACATCCAAAGCTTGGAAGGTACTTTACAGACCAATAAAACAGGGTAAAATCCTTGCCCCATTGAAGTCAATGGCAAAAATCCCTAGTCTCTCCCCTGATTATCTCACAATGTAAGTACCAGAGATGTGAGATGATAAGTAAAAAGCCCGTAGGAGAGTGAAGGAGAAAGGTTCCCCATGTTTATTTTTTTCCCCTACTGTTCCTCAGATGTTCTTGTCAACTGCTGGAAATGGCTCACCTTGATTATCACTCCAAAAGGTTTTTTTTTCTCTCCTGCTGGTAATAGCTCACCTTACCTGATCACTCTCGTTACAGTGTGTATGGTAACACCCATTGTTTCATGTTCTCTGTGTATATAAATCTCCTCACTGTATTTTCCACTGCATGCATCCGATGAAGTGAGCTATAGCTCACGAAAGCTTGTGCTCAGATAAATTTGTTAGTCTCTAAGGTGCCACAAGTCCTCCTTTTCTTTTTGCAGATACAGACTAACACTGCTGCTACTCTGAAAAATGACAAGCTTGTTCATTTGCTTATAAATACTGATACATCACTGTGGCTTGTTTTTTTCTTGGTTAAACAAATGATTGGGGTCAGGGTGGTCAGGAAAAAGTTATAGCTTGCCATAATTGCTCTTCTTTCTTTATTTTAGATTTGATTGACACCAGAACCTACTTTGAAAAGGGTCTGAGCTGGTAGCATAGGCCTGTGCCACTCCAAAGAAGGCAAGACAATTCTTGAAGAAAACACAGACTATTTCCATGCCTTAAGGTAATTGTTCTGGTATTCTCTGATATATGGCTTAACTTTGGATATGTTTACACTGCATTTAAAAACCCATGGCTGGCCCATGCCAGTTGACTCAGGCTAAGGGGCTCTTTAATTGCAGTGTAGACATTTGGGCTCAGGCTGGAGCCTGGGCTCCAGGGCCCAGTGAGGTGGGAGGGTCTGAGAGCTTGTGCTGCAATTAGGCAGCCCCTTTATCTGAACACCATATGCCTGAGTCAGCTGGCACAGGCCAGCCATGGGTTTCTAATTACAGTGTAGACTTACCCTATAACACCTCCTCTTTGCCAAGGGCTTAGCTCTCAATGCGCACAAGTCCCATGGAAGTGTTAGAAATTTACATTCACAAATTAACAAAATGACATTTAGAAATCACATCCTATGTTTTTAGAGTGGATTACTTCTTATCAATTTTCAAACACCCAAAGGTGTGAGGCTCCAGCCTATCTCGGCTAATAAGAAATTTGAAACTGCAGCTACCAGGGCGCAAAAGAGGCTGCTAGACCAGGGATTGGCAACCTTTGGCACATGGCCCTTCAGGGAAATCCGCTTGCGGGGCGGGACAGTTTGTTTACCTGCAGCATCTGCAGGTTCGGCTGATTTCAGCTCCCACTGGATGCAGTTCGCTGTTCGAGGCCAATGGGGGCTGTGGGAAGCGGTGGCCAGCTCATTCCTGGCCCACACCGCTTCCCGCAGCCCCCATTGGCCTGGAACAGTGAATCGTGGCCAGCTGGAGCTGCAATCGGCTGAACCTGCAGACGCTGCAGGTAAACAAACTGTTCCGGCCTGCCAGCGGATTTCCCGGACGTGCTGAATGCCAAAGGTTGCCGATCCCTGTGCTAGACTAACTACGGACCCCTTCTGATGTCATTGCAGAGGATAAAAACTCTTATTCCCCCTCACCTTTAAGAAAGAATTAGAAGGGATTTAGCTCCCCGATGGCTTCTCTGCTGAGTCTGGGATAGAAAGCCCCATTACTTGGAAAATGTGAATCACGTGTGTGTTTCAACAAATATACATTCAGAGTTATGGGGAAAGATGTCTATAGAGGGAGTAGAGCTGGCCAGAGTCACCCAGGCATACAATCTTTTATCAGGCCTTTACCATACCAAAGCCCGTAAAAGTCTCCTCAACATTACCATTTATGCTGGTAACCTTTCAGGACTGGTACCCACACTACTCTGGGTAACATTCAACAGTACATTTGCTCTAGGCACATGAGACCTTTTCCAGCTCCCTCCTTCTTGACTCAGTTACCAAACCCAACTGGCAAGTTTCCTGACTCACCCTTTCCATAGTATGACATCATGAAGAGCAATTTCCCTCTGTACCAACATTTTAATAAGTGCTGTGGGGAAAACTGGGGCTGTTTCCTGTCAGGCACGCGTAGGAGCAGATACTCATAGCATCATGCCAACCCACGCTGCTCTAGTTCGCTCCCAAAGTTGGGGACACAGCCAAATAACTACTCATTGACTTTCAGTGAGACTTAGGCTCCTAACCAGCTCAGGTGCTTTTGAAAAGGGGCTAGCACTCATAAGGGAAAATAAGACTGATGGCTCTGTAAATACATGAACAGAAAGAGTAAAGTCTTTATTCAACTGAGGGGAAATGACATGAAAATGAGTACAGCTCCTTTTTCTTTTGTCATTCTGAGCAGTTACTGAAAAAATAAAAAAATAAGGTGAAAAAGCTAAAATTGCAACCAATCAGCTCAATCCAGTAGCTTTTATATATGCAGCAGTAATTTCAGGACAGATGACTTCTATGCACTAGAATGTATAAGGTAACAAGTTCTAGTAGCTATATCATTACTATCTTTGGTATCTCCATATGACCACATCCATGCCCAGCTGTACTTCTTATGGGACACAGTTATGCAGCGTTCTACAGATTCACCACCTCTGACACACAAGGGCCTCCCGCTATTTTTAGCTTCAGAAGGGCAGTTGTTTTCCCTGAATGTTTTCCATTTTGGTTAGACTTCCTTGCAACAACTTTAAGAAAGACTCTCCTGAAGACTTCAGCTCTAATAAATGTAAGTAACTGATCTGATAGTTTTAGATATGTGTTACATTCACAAGTTGTAGATTTTTGTAGTTAAGTATTTAGAACCAATTTCCCCACTGTACACTCACTTTCTGTACATACAAACAGCATGCTATGAATGCTCTGTTTTATTATTTATTTCCACGTCAGCACCTTGAAACAAACAAGATGCGAACACAGATATCAGCGTCACTGGCCTCCTAACTATTAATTAGTTTCACAACAGGGCTAAACTAACCCTCAGAGCTTTTAAATTAGTCATTGTAATTGGTATTTTAATATTGCTTAAAGTCCACCACCTCATAAGCATTAAAATATCATAACTTAATACTTTTAAATGTAAGTTATTTTTGGTAATGTAAAATAAGTACCTAAAAATTCTTAACAAAGAATAAAATCAAGACTAAATGGATTAGCAAAACAATAGAATGAAGTGTAAATTACTTACAGTTTAACCATAGTCAGCTAAAAATTCAGGATGGAAGAAGTCATCAAGTATCAAGTATGAGAAGAAAACTTGCTTTGTAGTTTCCCTCCTCACTTTTAGACCCTGTAAACTCCCACAGGACCCATAAACACAGCTATGAAACTGACTATCCCTTTCAATCTATATTTAGCGTTCATTTTGGCCAAGAAGTCTGGTTTCTATTTAAAACACACACACACACACAGAGTTCACTTATTAGACCAGAGTCACTATGAAATTTTAATATTCACTGCTATTATGGTGAGTTTTTAATATGCTTTTGACATGTATCATTTTACTAATATTTTGCACTGAGTGACTTTTTAAAACAGGCTTGATAAACGAATCTAACCAATATTCTAGTTAATGAAATAATTAGACATCTCAAGATACACAAACTACATCCGTTTAATTTATCTTCATAACAAAGTGTGACTTTTTTAAAGTACTCCATACAAAGGACTCTAACAGATTTTTCTGATGTATTGGTTAAGAATGGGCAAAATACTTGCAATGCAAATTTCCATTTTTCCAGTGAACATTACAGACGGTTGGATGTATTTAACAATTGCCACAAGTGGTGCGGTTGATGCCAATACAAAACCAAATAGGCTCAGACAGCTGATCTATGGAGCAGTCCCATATTTCTATAATACCATTTTGCTGTTAGTCTGCATTTTAACAGTGTGAAATTTAGGTCATGACAAGTGCCTAAATCATGTAATCGTTTCTGTAAATGAGGCATGACAAATACTAGAAGTCAGAAGACACATAGTTACACTATCCTCTAACAGACAAGGCACTCAGAACTAAAAGCAATAAAGAAGTGTGTAATCATAGAATCATAAGACTGGAAAGGACCTCGAGAGGTCATCTATTCCAGTCCCCTTCACTCAAGGCAGGAATAAGTATTACCTAGACCAGAGGTTCTCAAACTGTGGTCCGTGAACTGAGCTCCATTCAGGTGGTCCGCAGATAGTTCCCTCTAAGGTGCGTGCCTGGGCAGCCACACAGGAGAGAATGAAGGGCCACCCACAGGGGTGAAAGTAACTCCAGACACTTACTGGCCCTGGAAGGGGCGGGGCCTCAGGCAGAAGGGGCAGGGCTAGGGGGTCAGCGTCCCCCAGGCAGCTCTTCCAGGCTGCCATGGCAGCTTTAAGGACGGTGCTTTGCCACGGCAGCGCTTTAACGTTGCTGTCCCTTCCACCTCACCAGTCAGCAGCCCTGCTGGTACGGACCCTACCCATGGGGGAGGCAAAAAGGGGCAGGGACATTAAGCGCTGCTGCACCAGTGCTTTAATGTGGGCTGCATACAGGCCGGTGTGGGTTCGTTCTGGTACACTGTACCGCTCACTTTCACCCCTGGCCACCCACCTGATTAGTGGAGCCATGCAGGTGCCTGGACCCTGGAGAAGATGCACATGTAAGGTGAGGTGGTGGCCTTGGGGGGATAGGTGGGAGGGGGCAGTGGGGTGAGAAGAGGGGGTGGCGGGGATTTGGGACATGCAGGGCTGCCGTGGCCAGAGAAAGGCGATGTTAGGATATAGATATTCAGGCCTGTCTGCAAAGGCCTGTACTTTAAGAATTTAGGTGTATTATCACTTGGCTAGTTCTAGAGGTATAAAAGAAAGAATCAAAATCACTGTCTGCTGGTGTAAGGGCCTTCTCTTACTGTGACAGTTTGAGGCCCTGTTCTTAGGCTCAGGCCTTTGGCTAAGCAGCAGAGGCAGCCATAAGCTAGGAAGCGAAGAGTCACATCCTCACATTCCAAACTAGTCACATTGAAATAAGGTGCTATTGGGCTGTCAGGCACTATCAGGACAGGATTGTATTCCTATCACCTCCAGAGAAAGGGAAGTGCCTAGAAAATGTAAAAGGAAACTTAGTTTGATAGCATCCTGTCTGGCAAGAACTCACTTATCAATAGCTGGGATGTGAAATCCTCACTTCTGTATTGTTTTGTCATTATAGTTCCCACTTTGCTATTGTTTATTGGCATGGTCTCTGTCTGGTTCTGTGATTGTTTCTGTCTGCTGTATAATTAATTTTGCTGGGTGTAAACTAATTAAGGTGGTGGGATATAATTGGTTAGCTAATCATGTTACAATATGTTAGGATTGGTTAGTTAAATTTCAGTAGAATGATTGGTTAAGGTATAGCTAAGAATAATACTATATAAATTAGGGGCAAACAGGAAGTAAGTTGGGATTCGAAAATAAGGAAAAAGGAACTTGTATTTAAGCTTGCTGGAAGTTCACCCCAATAATTATCGAATTGTTTGCACCTTCGGACTTCGGGTATTGTTGCTCTCTGTTCATGCGAGAAGGACCAGGGAAGTGGGAGAGTGAAGGAATAAGCTTTCTAACAGGCGACTTTCCCCAGCTCCAGGGCTGGGGCTGCCAGGGAGAGACAGGCCTCCTTCCCAGCCTCAGCTCTGTGGCTGCTGTGGTGGGGGAAAAGACCCCTCTCTTTTCCAGCCCCAGCTCAGGGGCTGCCGCGGTAGGGGAGAGAGGGCACATCCATTGCATTAGAAAGGTAAGACGACTGATATTAAAATATGAGTTGTGTGCTTTTATTTGTAGAACAAAAAATGTTAAGGTTTTTTTTTATATAACGCTTTTATCCAAAGCGCTTTACAATAGTTAGGTAACGGTACAAATAATATTTGGAAAGATCATTAAATAGTACGCCAAGACCCTTAGCAATTTTCAAGTGGGTTGTGGGAAAAAAAGCTTGAGAACCACTGATCTAGACCAGTGGTTCTCAACCTGTTTTATCATTGTGGGCCGCATATACAGCGCACAATATATTATGTTGGCAGCAAGTTGAGAACCACAGCATCACTTCCCCAAAAGCACGCACAGTCCCCTATGCCCAGTGCTCCCACCCACAGCGGGGCCAGGGGCAGAGCTCCTGGCACGGGTCAGCAGACAGGACTGAGAAGGGGAGCCAGGAGCAGAGCCTCACTTAAAACCTGAGGGTACGACAGCAAACCCCTAGTTCCCAGCACCCCTCACCCAAACCTATCCACAGACCCACTCTCCCACCCCCTGCAGCATCCACCAGCTCCCTGTTGGCAGGAATGCTGGTGCAGGCTACAAGACACCGTCTCCTCCTCAGCCAGCCCTGCCCCCTGCCAGCCCAGAGCAGTACATTTTAATATTTTTAGCACACCGCTGTGTGCAAATTGGGCTGCATGCAGCCTGTGGGTCACAGGCTGAGAACCACTGATCTTGTCCATCCCTGACCAGTGTTTGTCTAACCTGCTCTGAAAAATCTCCTGTGATGCAGATAGTTTAACTACCTTGAGAGTTAGGAAGGTTTTTTTTCCTCCTAATGTCCAACCTAAATCACCCTTACTGCAACGTAAGCCCATTGCTTCTTGTTCTATAGTCAGAGGTTAACAAGAATATACCTCCCTCCTCCTTGTAACAACCTGTTATGTACTTGAAAACCATTATACCACTCTCAAGTCTTCTTCTCCATACTAACCAAACCCAATTTTTTCAATCTTCCATCATAGGTCATGTTTTCTAGACCTTTAATCATTTTTGTCGCTCTTCTGGGAGCTTTTTCCAATTTGTGCCCAGAATTGGACACCATACTCCAGTTCAGGCCTAATCAGTGCAGAATAGGTGCTTACCAACACCCCTGCTAATACATCCAAGAATGTTTGCCTTATTTTTTGTTGCAAGTGTTACACTGTTGACTGATATTTAGCTTGTGACCCACTATGACCTCCAGATCTCTTTCTGGGCAGTTTCCCATGTTGCATGTGTGCAATTGATAGTTCCTTCCTAAGTAGAGTACTTTGCATTTGTCCTTATTGAATTTCATCCCATTAGTCCAGATAATGTTGAATTTTAAATCCTGTCCTCCAAAGCACTTGCAACCCCTCCCAGTTTGATATTGTCAACACATGTTCTCTATGCCTGTATCTAAATCATTGATGAAGATATTGAACAGAACTGGTCCCTGAGGAACCCTATTCAATATGCTCTTCCAGCATGACACTGAACGACTGATAACTACTCTGGGATGTTTTCCAATCAGTTATTCACCTACCTCATAGTAGATCCATCTAGTTCCCCTAGTTTGTGACATCATTCAAGACCAGTATTAAGAGCCTTACTAAAGTCAAGATATACCACATATACTGCTCCTCACCCCGCAGCCTTGTTACCTTGTCAAAAAAAGCCACTAATTTGTTCTGACACAATTTGTTCTTGACAAGCGTATATTGTTACTTATAATAACTACAGCGTAGAACAGCACTATTAAAGGCTATTGAAACAAATTGCTCAGTAAGACTAAAGAGCCAAAGAATAGTATCTGCAGTTGGCAGGAAGTAGAATAAAAGTCAAAGACCACCAACTTGCCTGTTTTGGGAAACACGCAGATCTGCAGGCAGTATCAAATTTATCACAAAAAGATTTGATAAATAAGATGGATCTAGTCTGATGCTGTCAGACAGGACACAACACGAGTCAGACATTTTTCTAACACACTATTTACTGTGATTAGTGACAAAGACTTGAGCCCTTAAAAACTGATTGAGGACCCACCACTGAATCCATCAGTCACGGACTATTAAGAAAAATCATGAAGCAACAACCAGTTAGGTCAGCACACTAAAGAGATTTATTCTCTAAAACGGCTATCATGACCACTCAATTAGAAATAAGAAAAGGAGTACTTGTGGCACCTTTGAGACTAACAAATTTATTTGAGCAAAGGTGCCACAAGTACTCCTTTTCTTTTTACGAATACAGACTAACACAGCTGCTACTCTGAAACCTGTCAATTAGAAATGTAATACAAACCTAATGCTAATCATGTGAAGAATGCAGATAAAATCATCATTCACATGTTTCACCCTAACTTCCCCTACAGTTGGGCTCATATCTTCAGTTATACTTAGAGAGCCTGCTAAATCCAAATTTTTCCTTCTTATTCACTTATGGCTGTTTGGCAGGTTCCACTTGTCACCAGTCAATTTGAGTTTACCCTCTGTGCTCTTAAAGGATCCTTGATTTCAAACCCTCCTCACATAGATGCAACTTCTATAAAGTGTTTTCAGGTACAGCTTATATTAATTCTCTGAACCATTTTTTACCCATGTATTTAGACTAGGGGTTTTTGTCAGTATAAAGGGTCATAAAAATCACTCCTATGACATCATAACAGCTTGAATTTTTAATGTAAGTCTGCCCTAAGTGTTAATGAGTTGTTGGAAAGGCAAGCTGTGTCAGAATTTAGAGTTAAATTTGCTTTTATCTAGTTGAATGATGGTTTGAACACCAGTCATTACTCTATAGCAGGTGAATGTAATAAAGGCAGTTGATGGGAGTTCTCTTTGCTATTCCTCATCTTTCTTCCATTTCTTTAGGTAAGGTGAACTTCACCTGATAACCATATGAATGTTTCCACAGTATTGTCGTGACTAGGATTCTGTAAAGCATCTATCCTGCTACTGCAAGCACCATATTTTACAGAAAAAAAGATATATAATCATACAGCTGAGGTTACTCATATTGCCCTGGATCCTCCAAGTTGACAAGTTAAACAAATTTAAGGCATAAGATTGAGTGGACAGAGTCATGACTGAGCTTTCAGACTAAGTTTGAGCACTCATCCTGAAGCCAGATCATGCCAATGCTAGTTTTGTGTGAAGCACACTTTTTCAATATATTTTATAGCTACTATATCATTTCTAGCGATAAAATGAAAAACAAACTAAGTGTGCAGTTATCTGATCTCGTTTACTATTTAGAAAAGGTGTATAACAACCACATTTTAAAAGACTTCAGTGAGAAAGATTTTTATTCCGAAGATGGAACAGTCTTATACAAGTAAATATGTAAAATGTGTCACCACTTTTAAAGTTAAATGTAGTCAAGTATGTTTGTACTATTTACTACTCCATATTAAGTGCCAACAGCAGGACTTCATGGCACTGGTATAATATAGTAAGGTTATATCTTCTGCCATTTGTCAGTTCAGCAGCCAGTTTAAAATAAGTTAAAATTACAGGGTATAATTGAAAAAATAGCAGCTGTTCCAGAGGCATGTTTGTTCTTGTACTCTGCTCTTCTTATCAAGAAGACTTGCTCTTCTATGTAATTTCATTGCTGTATTAACACCAATCCAAGATGAGCTGGGTCAGACAATTTTGGCAGTTTAATACATATAGCCTTCAGAGCCATCTAACAACTGAATTGTTGCTATATTTACCAAATTTATGAGTGATTTTGATCCAGCATAAGTGTTACAAGTTACATTTCCACCCAATTTTAGATCAACTGATCCTATATACATACAGTACACACCCACCTAAAGCAATTATAACATGCATAACATTTACAGATACTATACATTAGATATTATCCCTGTGCAATGAAGTGTAAGCTATGTGGCTATATAAATTAAATCTCAAATTTCAAGGTTACAACAATTACATTTATAAAAAATTATGAAATTACATAAGTCTTCAACATTGGAACCCACATGGAAGATCTAGAAAAATTCACCCACATCTGTTCTTTTGTCACGACATTTGCTTCTAGCCTTTGTTCGAGCCTTGAATGCTGCAGAGTTGTACAAGTGCTACAAAGTGAAAGAGAAGCTTTAGTCAGATGTTTGAAATATCTACGCCTAAACTAGTTTAAGTTCTTTAAATAATTAGGCTGTAAAGGATTTTAAATTGATTTAAATGTCAGATGGTGTCAGAATTGTGGTACAAAATGAATACAAATTTTATGTCAAAGGTCGGTCATAGGTTCCAAGATTTTAGCACATAATGACCTAATAAACAGATTAAAAGAGAATGACCACTAGATAAGCATGAGTGTCACCATATGGAAATAAGATCTAAATTTTTTCAAAATAGAAAAGATGACAGACATTCAGGAGTCTAAATGAGAGGACCTTAAGTTCCTAAATTTTACTGGAAGTGACTTGGTGGTTTTGAAGTTTTACTGCTTGTCTGGATTCTAGCATTTAACAGATCTGACTATTTCTTCAAGGCTCCCAAACAGGTGTCACTCATTCTGTGAAAAGGACAAAATTCAATTTAACTATGGTCCACAGGTCAAGGAATGATTTAAGACTACATACTGTCCTCGGTGTACAGCAACTTCTCCCAATGTCAGTCATTTAAGCTTTAAAGTTAAAGTTAGAGTTAATTCCCCTACCAAGTTAGTTTTAGTATTCAGATTCAGGAAAACTCTGCATCAGTTTTACACTGATTATATTGGGAAAGTGATCTTCAGAACCCACAAAGCTAGGAAGTATTTTAGATGACTTCTGAATATCATGCAAACCACAAATACGTGAAGTTTGACTGATCTGACCCACAGGCTGGGTGTTTGAAAACATTGCTCCATAACACTGTGTTCTAAATAAATGTGAGTAATCTGACTATGGCTAGAAAACATCTATTCTTAATATTCTAGTATTAACTGGCAAGAAAACCCTCCTCCTGCCTCTGAAAGGTTATACTATACATCCAATTGGTGTGGATCCTAATCCGTTGTAGGAGAGTTTTGGATGCCTAAAATGGTACAGTCTAAGTTTTGTACGCATAAATATAGGATGGTCACACTGTTGGAGAGTGCCAAAACAAGGATTACCCAATCACCCTAAAGCCATACAGCACGAATCCTATACTCCACACCACATCATGCATTCTGGATGTCATTTTACAGAAGTTTTGAAGATTTTGTCAGGACCATTTCTCATATATCTCCTCATGAACAGCTAAGTCTCCTAGTTGCCATGAATCCCACTATACAAGCTTTACAGGAAGAGAGTTAAATAACTAATGTCTGAGGTAAGCAGCTTTTCCACAGGCTTCAGTTGTCATGCTCCAGTGTAACATCTCAGGACCATCTAGGGACAGAAACAAGTGCTGTACCCCCACGCAAAAGGGTGTTCAAAAGTCTATACAGCTCTCATTACTAGCTCTTCAGTCACCAGGGTGAACCTAAAACTTGATCCAGGACACAATGTGTTTGTGAAGCACCCCAGACCAGCCATTTTTCATTAAACCAAACATTTGTAGCAGGTTGACTCTAAAATGGCAGCTGTTCAACTGTTCAGGTTTCAAATGTTATTTAATTCTCAAAGGGAATAGGATAGCATGGTAAGAGCAAGTGATACAGTTAAAGGTGTGATAACATACCCTTTCAAAACGGGATATCTTCATTGTTTTAAGAGTTGCAGCATCAAGCATTACTGGTGGTCCAAGTTCAAACACATTCCGAAGAAACTCATTGGACTGAGTAAAAAAATTAACACATCAGTAATCAAGGTTCTATATGGAATATTGTAGCAGCTTTAATCTTGAGATTTAAATTACATGAGTCCATACAAGTAATTTACACTTGTTGAATACGGTCCCCTGCCATCATTTTATTGTAAGTAATCAGGGCTCAATTCTTGCTTGCATCAGACAAATCAATGCTCAGCACAGGAGTTGTCAGAGGCAGTTACAGCATCCTGATTCTGCAATGCCCTGACCTCAGCATCAAAGTTTCTACACTGCCATATTACCCACACTGGGGTGGGCTGGTGTAAACTACACCAGAAGTGATTTCCCTTCTGCAAGGGGAATTTTCAGCTGGCTATTTATGATTACACTGGTCCAGTGTAAAATAACCCTTAGTTTTCTCTTTACAAAATTTGAATTAAAATAGAAAGTTACTTTAGAACCAGTTTACCATAGCTATAATTCAAGACATGTTGCTTTATTCTTAAATACTTCTATTGGGAAACAACTTTAACAAATCATTGGCTAAATTCCAATAGAAAACAGGAAAATTTCAAATAGGCAATAATTATTCAAGTGGCCAGACAGGAAACAGTGTGAAATAACAGCTCACCTGCAAATGATATTGCATCCCTGATCCCAGAAGCTCCTTGAAGGTATCATATGTTTGTTTCTTAACCCAGCAGTCAATATACATGCGCTCAGGTCCAAATTTGACAGTCTCTGTAGGGAAGTCACGCTCCTGTCCAAAAACCAAAGACAAAACATGGAGACTACATTACCAAAACCCCGATTTAGAAAAAGTCCTAAGCAGACAAAAGTTATATAGAAAGCTTACACATGTTAAGAACTAGTGTAGTTTTCCTTTCATCGAGTGATCCTATGTAATAAGGACAAGAATCATGTAGTGAGCTGTAGCTCACGAAAGCTTATGCTCAAATAAATTTGTTAGTCTCTAAGGTGCCACGAGTACTCCTTTTCTTTTTGCGAATACAGACTAACACAGCTGCTACTCTGAAACCCGTTATTCTGTAAAGTAACCTACTATGCATGTATAATACAATTGCAGATTTTACTGGACACAGGTTGATTCAGGACTGAACCTTAAGAGTATTTATGCTGCTACAGGTAACATTGGGAGGTACAATGATGTAAGTATGAATACAGAAGTAGAATATCAAAAGAAATGTTCACTTGGTATGGGCTTTGTCCAGGGGAATTTGATTCACAGCTGTAAATCAGTCAGGTCTCAGTGGATCTTTAAAGATCCAGGCAAGGTCTTAACACTGTTGAAAAGGAAATTTTATAACCCCCTTTAAAATGCTGTGTTTTGATGCAAACCATACTTATGGGTATACATTTCAGATAATGCAACTATGGGTGCCAATATAAGACCTTAAGTAAAGAATGTTCTCTAATTCATTTTTGGGGCTGTTAGTGACTAAGTCACCTTCTTCTGTATTTATGTAACTGGTAATGTAATTACTCCTGACAGTATAAGTCTAAGCATCCCACCCTATCAGTAGTTAGTTTCTTTCTCAGACCAACGTTCACTGCTGAGAACTTTTGATTGTTTGAAAGTACAATTATTTCATTTAGCTGGTATTGGCCAGATTTTACACAGTTAAAGATTCAAGTGTCATCTAACCTACCAACACCCTTTCATTACGAAATGTAAGCTTATTTATCTGGCTTAGTGACTTGTGAACACTTTTCTGGTGAAGAGCTGAAAATTACTGTCCAGAGCTTTTAGCAATGGTACAGTAGCTCCTCACTTAACATTGTAGTTATGTTCCTGAAAAACACTATTTTAAGCACAACTATGTTAAGTGAATCTAATTTCCCCATAAGAATTACGTAAAAAAGGGGGGAGGGGGGGGTTAGGTTTCAAGGAAATTTTATTTGCCAGACACAATATATATAAAATTTAATACCGTACACAGCAATGATGATTGTGAAGCTTGGTTGAGGTGGTGGAGTCAGAGGGTGGGATATTTCCCAGGGAATGCCTCACTACTAAATGATGAACTAGCACTCAATTGAGCCCCCAAGGGTTAACATGTTGTTAATGTAGCCTCACACTCTACAAGGCATCATGATGGAGGGATAGGAGACAGCATGACAGCATGGAGAGAGAGACAGACACACACACACACACCCCGTGTGTGAGAGAGAGACACATACACATTGTCCCTTTAAGTACACTGGCTTTTTAAGGAGATCAGCAAGTTGAGACAGCAGGTGCTGCCAGCAAGCTCCCTCCGTCCAGAGCCCTGTCGTATCTCCACCCTGCTCTGTGGAGATGGGGTAAAGGAGTGGGAGCAGAGGGGGACACCCTGACATTAGCTTCCCTTTCCCTCCCCCTGCATAGCAAGCAGGGGACTCCTGGGAGCAGCTCCAAGACAGAGGACAGGAGCAGTACAGGGCAGTGGGGGGAAGGGACACCTGAACTACCCAGCAATTGGTAGCCTGCTGGGTGGCTGCCGCACAAGCAACTTAGGGGAGCTGATAGGGGGCTGCCAGTCCACCCTGGTTTCAACCCCCACCAGCTAGCTACAACGGGCTGCTCTTTCTGCAGGCAGTGGACAAAGCAGGCAGCTGCCAAACAACATAAGGGAGCATCGTGCAACTTTAGAGCATGTTCTCTAATTAATCAGCAACTTAACAACGAAAAACTGTTCAATGAGAAGTTACTGTATTCTGTACGGTTCTCTACAGCAATGTTAACCTAAGCACAGAGATATGCTTTAAGGGACGTAATTCTTTAAGCCCTTCGAGTGGAGCAATTATAAACTGAATCCACACAACAGCTGAATAATGCAAGCTGTTTCTTGCTTACACTGCAAGGCACTAATTCCGCTAATGAACTGATAGATTTTAGAATTCCATAATTCAGAGTTTGGCTGTAAAGGACAAGTCTCTCAGCAGAAAACTCAGTACATTGAATAAAGGGGCACTTAACATTTATATTGCAATATTTTATCCATTTTATAGAAAACCATATATCCAATATGGAAGTCAGGTTTGTATTTCCAATCTAAAATGAGGTTTTTCAGTTGACCGTTGAATCCTTTTTAGATTACTAAGCATGAACCTTTGAAAGATGTAGTTAACACTAATCCTGCCTTAATTCTTAATGAGTTAAGAAACTCAAAATTTAAGTTATGTGGAGCTTATGTTCAAAATTCATCTAAAATTGTAAGAGTTTTTCCAATGGTCCAGTGTTCATACAACTGTTTTATAAATTGTGTGCCACTTTTTGCTTTACAGATCAGTATTTTCAAAGCAATCAAGAGTACCTCTACTGCTCGCAAGACGTCTCTAAAGACAGATCGCTGCTTTCTTTTGTCTACTTTGGCACGGTGCTTGTTTCCATCTGTAGCCAGGGCCTTTAGTTTCTGTGTCAAAAGTTCCATGTCTTCATAAAAGAAATCCTAGTCAGACAAAAGGAGATATTTCAATTTCTGGTCTTTACACCCATTTTCTCTAAGTGGTAATACATCAACTTTTCCCATGGTATTGTCTGTCACTTGGATCACATGAGGCGTTTATAATGTAAAATAAATGTACTAACTGTACTTGAATGATTAAGTAATCAGGATCCAGGTTACCCAAGCATGACCTGTGTGCACCTGCTGGTACAGTTATCAGCTGAAGCATTCAGTGTGGAGCTCCCTCAATATGAAAAAAGCTGCCAACAAGGTCTCTTGTAAGGCCCTTGGATTATGGAACAAACTCCCCACTTAGCCTGCTAGCTAGTGCCTAGATTTGTTAACCCTCTGAACATGCTGTAGCATTATGTTCTCTAACACTTGAAGTCAATGAAATGTTTATTGGCATAGGATAATTATGTTTTGGGGTGGATTTCAGAGATATTGACAGTTGCCTTAAGATGTTTAATGCCATTTATTACTATTAATTTAAGTTTTGGAAAGGGAGCCTGGAGCTTACAAGGGGGACTTCTAATATTTTTAGAAGAATAAATCTGAACAGTTTTTGGAGGTCAGATTAATTCCTAACCGATTACAAGCACATCAACTGTTTTGTCCTTTTACGAATTCCACATTATTTACATTACTCTTTCAAATGGTAGTGTGTTACTTTGATAGCGTGCTATTTGTGGCATGGACCATCTGTTAATTTTTGACCTGTGCCTAAAAAAATAGAACCCTGCACCTTAACTGAGTCTCCTAGGCACTACTATATTTAATAGCTGTCTTCTGTGTGTTTATTTCCTTTGTCATTGCAATTTTTAAATCACATTTTTACCTCAGTCCTCCCAGTCTGCCCCATATACCATACCACACAAATATACTTAGTCTCATCTGATCCTGAGATTAAGTTGGTAAACTTAAAAGTGAATACTGCATGTATTCTTGCATGAATGAGATAAGATTAGCATCAGACGTGTTACAAGGCCATTGGGATAATCCTTTTGTCATAAATTCTGCTTATTATACAAGCCACTGAACTGGGTAACTTACATATGAACTGATGTGGTTTTCTTAAAGGAAGTGTTTTAAGATTTTAAAGAACGCAGATTTATATTTAATCAAAACCAAGTACATTCAAACGAAAATTTCAGTCACTTGCAGCCACAGTCCAAGTGATGAAGAGAGTTCAAGCTCTGGACTCATCTTGCCAGGCCTAAACTTCACTGTCACTGTCAAGCCCTTTCAAAGTAGGCTTCCATAGCTAGAATCTTGCAGTCTCCTGTATTTAGAAGCACTACAAAAAGCAGCACAATTTAGATACTATGTGAAGTTACTGTGCTTGGTATCCTGCCTCATTCACAGTTACCCTTCCCTCTCAGACCACGTTCTAGCTTGGTCAAGGCTGATGTGCTTTGCCAGGAGCACTTCTGGCAGCCCTCCCAAGCTGTGCCCATGGATAGTTGAAGACTAATTTCTTCAGTGCTGTCAAAAAAACAGTTAAGAAGTTAATAAGGCACATTACTGAAGGGTAACAAAATAGATTAAGTCTGTGTTGTAAAGCAAAATTAAAAGTTATTTAAATTTCTAACGATCTGGTGCAAAGGTGAACCACAAGGAAAATATACCTATCACAACCTCAGTAGCACAACATAAATAAAAGTAACTCCTTAGAAGTCTTCCTCCAAAATTGCAACTGGCAAAATGCAAATCACCCAATCTACTTTCAGACGCCAAGAAATTGTTCAAAAGAATCAGGCAAGTCCCATAATGTTTTACTAACCTCTTCATCATTGGGTACCCCCCCTTTGAGGCAACATAAGGAAATAGAAAACCCCCTACTAAAGATACTGTCTAAACTCAAGAGTGCATTGCAACTGTGACAGCACACAGTGATGCTTTCTGGGAGTCCTTGGAACCGGCAGATTTGGACAAGCTGAAAAGGGTAAGGGTCTGTACCGAATGCCCCCCTTACCATGGTTTGTTGGGGTACAAGATGCCAATCTACATTTATTTTCTTTGCAGTTCTTTAAAAAAAAGTTATTTAGATGTTAGTATCAGATTTTGTCAACTCTAGCATTCCAGCAGCCCTGGAGTTATCACAGGGAGATAATAGGAGGGCTAGCACAAGTAAGCTTGTTTTAATTGGAGTAGTTCTAATGTATCTACCTAAATTTCATTCTACTGTTTAGATACTTTTTCTTCATTATCTTAAGTTGTGGAGTGTTTATATGCAACTTTCCCACCCAGAATGTGCACATGGATACAACTAGACTGTAAGAGGTGGTCCTTTGAAATCAGGGATCCTATGTGAAAGAGCATTACACACCACAGTGTTTAGTTTGTAACAATCTCAAAGCAAGAAACCTGTCACAGCTAAATCCATTATACTTACAGCTTCCATTTCTCGTGCCAGTTCAAACAGAAGAGCTAGTGTTTCTCCAGCAGCAATTCTCATGTTGACATCATCACAAGATAACAAGTTTGGAAGTTTGTGTAAGTGCCTAGAAAAAAAGAGCCACATTTTATTAATCTGTAAAGAGTGATTTTTACAATAAAGCAACATTAAGGCAAAGTAACAGATCATTGTAAAAGCTGCCTTCCAGGAAAGGAACATACATTTCAAGTTTTTTCTTCACTTCGCTCACTGGACAGATGGTCAGCAACAGAGTCCATGCTAAAAGTGCACTGATGTGAAGCACTGTGTTGTGGGTGCTAGAGATGCCATTAGTGTCTCTCTCTCTCTGATAGGATTTTGTGAATATGTTTTCCAGACACTCCATAGTTGAATACAGTTCCTGGTTTAAAAGAAAAAGTAGTGTAAGTGGCTAAATTCAATCATTAAAATTTGTGTAAAACTTGATATAAAGGGTTAAGTGTTTATCCTTACAGTAATATCATCAGTGACTATGAAACAGCAAACTCCCAAGCAGGTTGCACACTAGAAATGGAAAAGAAATAAAGCAAGTCAGTATTTCATAGTTTATATTGATTCTACCAGACCTGACAAGATTCCCAAATTTTAAACTTTGGTCTTCGTTACTCCAATATACTTCATTATTGTATAAATAAGTATTTAAGTTCTACACTGAGTGCCCATAGAACCATTCCTTAAACAGAATTAACTCAGACTGAACTGTTCCCTCCTATTTTTTGCTTTTTTACTTCATAGCTATATCTGGTCCACTTTACAACATGCTGCTCTGCATAAGTATTTGCACTTCTGATATATGTACCTCTAAACAAAGAGATACGTTGCCAGACTGAGCTGTTACAAAAACTGTATATAGCCTGCCTTTCACCTGATTAGCTAAATTAGAAGAGGTAGTAAAAGCTTACTACTATGAACTACAAGTTTCACAATGAAATAAAAGGGATGGCTGGTGTCTACACACTGCTGTGGGAAGGATTTTCCAGAATTCTGATTAGTGGCATTTTAAGGGTCTACTCTACATGGAGTCTCACCAGCTCAATGTGGTACACTTTTCCAGTTTCTCGTGGGTACCATTTTCTAACACCCAAAAAGCAATTCAAGCTCCTCCTAAACCCCTGTATTAAACACCAGGTCTGCTTTACTTTTAAAGCAGTGTTTCAGTTGTGCTTTGATGCAACCGTAGTCAAGCTAGAAACCTTTGTTTTGACACTACTTGAGGACAACAAAACAGGCAAACCAGTTGTACAAGACTGAATGCAAGAGTTAAATGGTACTAGCTCAAAAAAACCTCAAGACACTAAAGTTACAGAAAAACCCAGTATCATTAGCAGCAATGGCTACTACTTTGAAGGAGCTTTTAGTTAATAGTTTGGTAGGTGCAGGAACTGAGGCACAGGTGGATTCTCTGAACTTGGCTTTGAGGCTACCATCCCTCCAAAAAGGGACCTTGACTTGAGGAAGGCATGCAGCTTTACACACTTTCCTGCTAGGTTTAATTATGCTTATCCCACAAGTTTTACAACTTGCATAAATATTTGTGGACTCAGTATATTGTTTTGGGAAACATTTAAAATAATCCCAGAAGACAGGCAATACAATAGGAATTCTAGAAGTGAAAGGACCATGCATTGTCTCTGTCATAAATATAAAGGGAAGGGTAAACCCCTTTGAAATTCTTCCTGGCCAGGGGAAAGCTCCTCTCACCTGTAAAGGGTTAAGAAGCTAAAGGTAACCTCGCTGGCACCTGACCAAAATGACCAATGAGGAGACAAGATACTTTCAAAAGCTGGGAGGAGGGAGAGAAACAAAGGGTCTGTGTGTCTGTCTATATGCTGGTCTTTGTCGGGGATAGACCAGGAATGGAGTCTTAGAACTTTTAGTAAGTAATCTAGCTAGGTATGTGTTAGATTATGATTTCTTTAAATGGCTGAGAAAAGAATTGTGCTGAATAGAATAACTATTTCTGTCTGTGTATCTTTTTTGTAACTTAAGGTTTTGCCTAGAGGGGTTCTCTATGTTTTTGAATCTAATTACCCTGCAAGATATCTACCATCCTGATTTTACAGGGGGGATTTCTATTTACTTCTATTTTTATTAAAAGTCTTCTTGTAAGAAAACTGAATGCTTTTTCATTGTTCTCAGATCCAAGGATTTGGGTCTGTGGTCACCTATGCAAATTGGTGAGGCTTTTTATCCAACATTTCCCAGGAAAGGGGGGGTGCAAGTGTTGGGAGGATTGTTCATTGTTCTTAAGATCCAAGGGTCTGGGTCTGTAGTCACCTAGGCAAATTGGTGAGGCTTTTTACCAAACCTTGTCCAGGAAGTGGGGTGCAAGGTTTTGGGAAGTATTTTGGGGGAAGGACGCGTCCAAACAGCTCTTCCCCAGTAACCAGTATTAGTTTGGTGGTGGTAGTGGCCAGTCCAAGGACAACGGGTGGAATATTTTGTACCTTGGGTAAGTTTT